AAACGCCCTATCAGATGTTTCTTTACAATCTTGCTGCTGCCCATATTGATTTAATATCTTTAACTGCTGGTCTGGTGGATAAGAAGAACCACTTGGTGATTTATCGGCTATACACACCCCACCAAGGGGAGACGCTGAGTGATGGCCTCCACCTCGGCGTCTACCATCCGAAAAACAGGCTGGCTCAGAGTTTGGTTCGCCACTACCATGAAGTCCTTGCTTCGTTTCACTAGAGCTTGACAAACTGTAAGTGCTCATAACCGAATCATAAGAATCACATGATCTTTGCTGCATTATAACTGGGCCATGTGGTCTTCTAGAATTTTGACTGTAATGCGCGCAACCTATTGCAGTATTGCTTGACGTAGGTGGATAGTTCGACTCCACCACACTTAAGTAATGCATAGTTCCATGCTTTTCATCGCTGATTTTCTCAGAAGACAAAACAGTGGAGTATTCATTTGCAACCTGTTGTAAATAGTGTCCCTGAGAACTCGATTTTAGGTTACCTGCTGCCTCAAATGATCCTGCGCTATATCCGCCTAGGCTAGGTGAAATGCAGGAGAAACTTTGAGTACACGGTTCTGATGGGGATAGCGTGAAGCTACTCTGCTGTTGAAGAATTTTCTGTTTATTGAGATTTTGCGGATTCTGAGTATAAAGTGGAGGCTGAAAGTGCGGGTATTGTGGCTCAAATGTGGGGGCAACCGACCCCCTCCCAGTGATTTGACTGGTTTCATTGCAGGCAATACCAGCCACGTTTATTGAATACTGGCGTTGTATTCCAAGCGTGCGGCGGATGGCCGAATCAGTCATTATTTATTAAATATTAACGGAATTTCGGCTAACAATCTGTTAGCCGCATTTTTCTTAAGCGAATTGACACAAATATACAAATATACACAGTATGTATAAAGTGTTTGACTAAATCTTATTCGGATAGTCAAAAAAATAGTTAAATCCTTGCTGGTAATATGTGAGCTCCTAGATTATTTGATTCCTTGCCTTCAATAATGTAGTATAAGCGGTTGAAAGCATGATTCCTATAGGCAGAAATTGCAATAATTCACAATTACCCAAAAGGGCTCAAAATCCATTGACCTAGAAGATATATATGTGAGGGTGGACAGATGAATCGAGATGCCGCTGTTTAGCCCAAGTATCTGCCAGAGGTGTGTAAATTTCACGACAAACTGGATTGGTCATAGATTTGCCTTAAATCAACCAATACGCAAGAAGTATTTCAAGCATTTCATTCATATCATGTAGAC